ACTTTTTTTCGAGGATTTTTTAGAGGTAGTAAATGCATGATTTCTTAACTTGCTTCATGCTGCATAGATAGTAAAAATGTTGAACTTTATGCCAATATTTTTTTTGCAATATTTTAATTAGTTTAGCTGCTACATTTCTACAAAATGTCAGAGGACTGTCCCTTATTACCCCGCCCATCCCTTATTACCCTTGATGGTAGGATATGTATATTATGGACTGAAAGTAGAAAGTTCCTGGCCTTTCCAAGCTTCCAGGTCACGCCTTCCAATATGCTATACCGTAAAATTTGGTAACTTAGACTCCCAGGGTAACTTAAACCACTTTTCGTTTTTTTAATAAAAACCCCCAAAACTCAAAAACTATTTGATATAGAAAAATTTTGTCAATGGGCATTAAAGGCCTAATACATATCACAATAGAAAGGATTAAAAAGTTTGCATATCTAATAGGTTAAAAAATTAAAAATGTGACCCACGAAAAAAAGCTATTATTTAAAGCCTGTCAGAGTACCCCCTCCAATTTTTTTATTTTTTGGTTAAATAACTCCAGGTTTTGATGCATTGTAGTAGAACTCTTCTAGTTACATATGCAAATGACAAATTGTAGGAAAGTGTCATAGTTTGCAAATGGGGGGCACCGCCTCCAAAGGGGGGAACTTAGACAACCTAATGTCAGCCCTGACGGGGTAACTTAGACCGGCTTGGAAGTTAATATAAAATTACCATAGTATATACCATAATTTATGTTTGACAACCTATTAATGTTTTTTCTTTATGTTTCAGACTCTACAGAGTCTTATATATGGTAATTTTAACTTAATTTCCAAGCCAGTCAATATTACCCTGTCAGGGCTGCCATTTGGTAGTCAAATTTCCACCATTATGGGGCGGTGCCCCCATTTGCAAACTATGACACTTTCCTCAAGTTTGTCATTTGCATATGTAACTAGAAGAGTTCTACTAATGCACCAAAACCTGGAGTTATTTGGAGTTATTTACCAAAAAATATAATTGATTTTACCACCCAGTCTAAGATACCCCAAGAGCTGGGGTAACAAAGACCATCACTTTTTTTTAAATTACATAAATACTGAGAGGCAGGAGCCAGTAATTTATGGTGAGTGAAGCTAGAGTATAGACCTGCATTTTGCATGTTTCAATTCAAGTTTAATTTAGCTAGTAAAAAAATGGCATCATTTAAAAAAAAGTGGTCTAAGTTACCCCATTTTATGGTATGTACTGGTTAATTTAACATCCCTCTAGAATTCCACACTGGTAAGGAGATATAACTTTTTAATTGGGAGATTTTATGTTTATTAAATTACAAGTAATGATCTTTGTAATTTAATTATAGCCATGTTGAATTTTTTTTTGTGGAACCTACTTCTAGATTAATGTTTTGAACTACATCCTTGCATTGTTTGGGACACTTGCCACCATGGTGGCATTCAATGTACCGTAAAAGGGGGTTACTTTGACTATTTGTTTTTTTTTTAAATGCCATTTTTTTACTAGCTAAATTAAACTTGAATTGAAACATGCAAAATACAGGTCTATACTCTAGGTTCACTCACCATAAATTGCTGGCTCCTGCCTCTCTTAGTTTTGATGTAATTTCAAAAAAAGTGATGGTCTTTGTTACCCCAGCTCTAGGGGTATCTTAGACTGGGTGGTAAAATCAATTATATTTTTTGGTAAAATAACTCCAAATAACTCCAGGTTTTGGTGCATTGGTAGAACTCTTCTAGTTACATATGCAAATGAAAAATATGAGGGAAGTGTCATAGTTTGCAAATGGGGGGTGCTGCCCCCCAATGGGGGAACTGTGACCTCCTAATGTCAGCCATGACAGGGTAATATTGACTGGCTTGGAAATTAAGTTAAAATTGCCATATATAAGACTCTGTAGAGTCTGAAACATGAAGAAAAAACATTTTTAGGTGTATCAAACATAAAATATGTTATATATGGTACCTCAACTTAATTTCTAAGCTGGTCAATATTACCCAGTCAGGGCTGTAAAGTTTGCATATCTAATAGGTTAAAAAATTAAAAATGTGACCCACGAAAAAAAGCTATTATTTAAAGCCTGTCAGAGTACCCCCTCCAATTTTTTTTATTTTTTGGTTAAATAACTCCAGGTTTTGATGCATTGTAGTAGAACTCTTCTAGTTACATATGCAAATGACAAATTGTAGGAAAGTGTCATAGTTTGCAAATGGGGGGCACCGCCTCCAAAGGGGGGAACTTAGACAACCTAATGTCAGCCCTGACGGGGTAACTTAGACCGGCTTGGAAGTTAATATAAAATTACCATAGTATATACCATAATTTATGTTTGACAACCTATTAATGTTTTTTCTTTATGTTTCAGACTCTACAGAGTCTTATATATGGTAATTTTAACTTAATTTCCAAGCCAGTCAATATTACCCTGTCAGGGCTGCCATTTGGTAGTCAAATTTCCACCATTATGGGGCGGTGCCCCCATTTGCAAACTATGACACTTTCCTCAAGTTTGTCATTTGCATATGTAACTAGAAGAGTTCTACTAATGCACCAAAACCTGGAGTTATTTGGAGTTATTTACCAAAAAATATAATTGATTTTACCACCCAGTCTAAGATACCCCAAGAGCTGGGGTAACAAAGACCATCACTTTTTTTTAAATTACATAAATACTGAGAGGCAGGAGCCAGTAATTTATGGTGAGTGAAGCTAGAGTATAGACCTGCATTTTGCATGTTTCAATTCAAGTTTAATTTAGCTAGTAAAAAAATGGCATCATTTAAAAAAAAGTGGTCTAAGTTACCCCATTTTATGGTATGTACTGGTTAATTTAACATCCCTCTAGAATTCCACACTGGTAAGGAGATATAACTTTTTAATTGGGAGATTTTATGTTTATTAAATTACAAGTAATGATCTTTGTAATTTAATTATAGCCATGTTGAATTTTTTTTTGTGGAACCTACTTCTAGATTAATGTTTTGAACTACATCCTTGCATTGTTTGGGACACTTGCCACCATGGTGGCATTCAATGTACCGTAAAAGGGGGTTACTTTGACTATTTGTTTTTTTTTTAAATGCCATTTTTTTACTAGCTAAATTAAACTTGAATTGAAACATGCAAAATACAGGTCTATACTCTAGGTTCACTCACCATAAATTGCTGGCTCCTGCCTCTCTTAGTTTTGATGTAATTTCAAAAAAAGTGATGGTCTTTGTTACCCCAGCTCTAGGGGTATCTTAGACTGGGTGGTAAAATCAATTATATTTTTTGGTAAAATAACTCCAAATAACTCCAGGTTTTGGTGCATTGGTAGAACTCTTCTAGTTACATATGCAAATGAAAAATATGAGGGAAGTGTCATAGTTTGCAAATGGGGGGTGCTGCCCCCCAATGGGGGAACTGTGACCTCCTAATGTCAGCCATGACAGGGTAATATTGACTGGCTTGGAAATTAAGTTAAAATTGCCATATATAAGACTCTGTAGAGTCTGAAACATGAAGAAAAAACATTTTTAGGTGTATCAAACATAAAATATGTTATATATGGTACCTCAACTTAATTTCTAAGCTGGTCAATATTACCCAGTCAGGGCTGACATTAGGTGGTCAGAGTTTTCCTATTGGGGGGTGGCACCTCCATTTGCAAACTATGACACTTCCCTCAAATTAGTCATTTGCATATGTAACTAGAAGAGTTCTACTACAATGCACCAAAACCTGGAGTTATTTAAAAAAAATTTTTCGAGGGGGTTCTACGACAGGTTTTAAATAAATAATAGCTCTTTTTCGTGGGTCACATTTTTCATTTTTTAACCTATTAGATTTGCAAACTTTTTTAATCTTTCTATTGTGTTACGTAGCCTCAGTATTAGGCCTTTAATGCCAATAACATTATTTTTCTATGTCAAATAATTTTTGAGTTTAGGGGGTTATTGTTAAAAAAACTAAAAGTGGTCAAACTTACGCCGGGAGTCAAAGTAACCCTCTTTTACGGTACATTTGATGTAATTGAGGAGCACAGTGGCCTAATAAAATAGGAGCGGGATGGCTGCATGCTCCAATATAAGCAGGCCGGTAGCAGCGACAGTGCACTCATACAATAAGAGCGGGACGAGCACGGAAACCATAATTGCTCATGTAATGGGCACAGATTTTGAAACCATAATTGCTCAAATTAAGTGAAAATAGACTACAGATCATTGACTATCTTTTAGAAGATATCAGCAATTTTCAACCAATAACACCATCATCATTGATTAATGGTTGTTGAAGCAAACAATTTCCAGACCCAATTGACATTAAAAGTATTTGTGACCCATCCTTTGATGAAAAGACTATTCTTGCAAAATGTTTAACTTGCAATCAACTCTTATTTTTATTTGTTTATTTATTTAACTTGCAATCAACAAAGTTTTTGTAAATTCTGGCATTCGGACTATCTGGCTTCACTTTGTCAACGATCTCAGTCTTGCAATGTAACTTCTAGTAATACTGATAAGATAGGAGATATTGTACAAATTCATGGCAATCACTCTTATGTGCTTTGAAAATTAGGAAGAGTAATTTCTTTGATTGTTGGCAATGCTAACTTTGTTTGTTTGGTAGAATTAGTTACAGACTCTGGAAAAGTCATTAGACCCATTACCAAACTTATTTGTTAGAAATTAGCGCAAAAGTTATTTAACCTGGGCCAACAATATCTTGAAACTATCAAATTTACACCTAGACCAGGCTGTCAATCTGCTAAAAAGGCTCCTCCTGCCTTACTCAAGAGATCACATAGTCTAATTATGCTCTGTAATTATGCCATATTGACTTAATTTTTATAGTTAATTGAATTTATGAGTGTAGTAACCTTTTATTTGGAGCTCACTGTATCTAGTATTAATACTATTTAATTAATTGTTATTCTTATTCTAAAACTGCTTACTAAATGTGATGTTTATATTTTTCAGATTCTTATTATTTTTAATAAATTTAATTTTTATTTTGTTAGCCCAAAATTTGATTTTTTTCAAGGTTATTATTTGAAAACCAAACAGAAACATTCCAGGAATTGCTTGTAAATATCTAAAAACATTACAGTATTTTCAGAAATAATTTTGTAAAACTAGATAAATTACTTACATGGCTGACATGGCTCATGTTTCTGAAACAATTTTGCTGTTGTTTATATTTTTATTTGTCAATGTAGTTGTATCAGAAACTGATTGGGCAGAAAATTCTCCAGGTAATTAATTTTTAATTAATTAATTAGGGAAGTAATTTTAATTAATGAGTGTCCCCAGCTTTGTTAATATTACATCTGATAAGACATGCTATCTCTTACAATTGAGAATTAATGCTAGAATTGAATAAAATTTTGGAGCAAATTGTTTAATAAACTAATTGTTTGTATCTTCTACTAAAAATAGTATAAACTTTTTAATCCTTTTATGCATTCACAAGAAATCAATTCTGAAATTCTGAAGGAAACAATTCTCATCAAATTCTGAGGCTGCTGGGAGTTTTAACAAGTTTTTTGGGAGTTTGGGTTGCTGGGGTTCTCTATTTTGTATTTTGTCTTGCAATAGAATCTGCATTGCAGTTCAAATGAATTAAAACCAGGTTCAAATTATCTGTAGTGTGTAAAGTAATATAATTTAATTTTTGTGCATTTTTTCAGGGCTTGCAATGGATTACAGGATTCACATTGATGCAGGCAAGGAAGACTGCTACTATCAGTATGTCCATCCTGGCGGCACTATCTTCACAAGCATGAATGTGAGTTTTCAGTTACTCATCATTTCAGTTACTCATCACTTGAACCCATTCTCTTTCCTTATAATAACGAAGAAATTAGTGTTGTATCGTAAAATCAGCATATCCTTTTAATACATACACACCTACATCATTTAGTTCACGTTTGATTATTTATATAACTAGTCCTGTATGGCAGGCCATAGTTGATGATCTTGATTTTCCTCAAGCAAAAAGATTTTTATAAGCCTATACTATATGGTAGTATCGCAAAAGCATTATATTGATAATTAAACAAATGGGACAATAATGACAATACTGACAATGGTGGGAAGAAAGAATTCATTTCTTACAAATTTTAAAAGAGAAAAAATTTCTATTAAAATATTGGCAAGCCATTTATGTGAAAGATAAGCACTACATGTAGCTCAATAAACGGAGAAAGAAGTGCATACTTTTTTGCCAACCAAAATGCATACTTTTATGTCAACCGAAATGGATTTTTATAACAGCCTCTGGTCATCCTTAGTAATAAACACTGTCAAAAATTGATCAACTCTCTTTGATCATTTCGTTAATTATGACTGAATGTACATGTTACTTAACTGAAATAAAGTACAGGCTTTACCATCTTTTTGTGCCTATGCTGAATATTTATTTGAAAAAAGGACACCCTGTGCAAATAGTTGGATTAAATAATTTATCATAATTCAGGCTTGAAATATGGTAAAGTAATCTAATTTATGAAACTTTCCCAAGTTTTTCTAACTTATATGAATTGAGGAAGTTGCAATAATACTACTGACTACACTCTCTTGCAAACATTTTATTTTCAGGTCTTGAAAGGAGGTGATGGAATGGCGGGTTTTGCAGTTCGCAACCCCAGAGGTCAAGTGGTTCACCCGTATGCTTGGAAACAAAACTCTGAATATGAAGAAGTGTCTGAACAAGGCGGTTACTATGCAATCTGCATTGATAACCAGTTCTCAAAATTTTCTGATAAATTAATCAATTTATACATTACTACATTCAGGTAAGATTTGAGGAATTTTAGACTTCTCATGAATGATTTTGTCCCCAATTGACAAAAAAAAAAAATAAGAATAAGTCATTCACGATGAGAAATTTTAAGTCGGGTTATGAAATTTTTTAGTTTTGATAGCAATATGCTCAAAATTGTACTATATGTTTTATTCTATATATTTATTGCTGCATGTCTATATTTCTTTTCTTCAGGCCTGATCTATGGGAGCAATACACAGCTGAGCTTGAACAAACAGACATCCATGTGGCAAATTTCACTGTAAGTTTCTTATATTGTATAATTTCCACTGTTCTTGCTTTCATAAATGCAAAAATCTTTTGTTTTCTTTAATTGAGTGTTATGTTAATAGATATTGACACGTTTATGAGAGCTGTCCAGTAACTTTACTTCATTACCCGATTAGATATTTTAATTGTCTATACATTACTGTATTCATTATTTCAACAATTGTTTGTCTACTCAATATGTTACATTCACAATTATCTTTACTATCAGCTACTTTCTCTTTAAAAATGGCCTCATCACTCCCATCTCATTTAATCTCATTTTCAGTCAAGAATCTAGATTATTCACACACGATATAAATACGGAGAAAATGTCAATGAGTCTGAAAATGTACCATATATTGCTACTATATCATAGTCTGAGCTCAAGATTCATAATTGATTTAAAGATGTCACTTCAAAGATGAAAGATAATCCAAGTAAAATGACTCAATTCCACAGTAGCAAAAAATTTACGTATTAATCTTGACAATATTGTGGCTTTCTGACTTGACCATCTAATTTAATGATCTTTAATGTTCTTGTTTAAAAAATCTGTAATTTTCTTCAAAAGAATTTCATGAGGATTTTATTTTGCAACTACCAGGAGAGCTTACGTTCAGTTGACTCGCGGATCAACGTGATGCTGCAGCAGCAAGCACAGAGCAGAGCCAGGGAGGCTAGAGACTATCAGCTGCTGCTGGACAACAACAACTGGGTTTTCTACTGGAGCATCGGTCTCTGTGTAGCTCTGGTAGCAACTTCAGTAACCCAGGTGAATACAACGCAAATCATATGTAACATGTCATTTTGATATTTTGAATAGGTCGCAATATCCTTCAATTAAGCCTTAAATTAGCTAAAATAATGAATCCTAGCATGTAAATATTTTTATTCAATGATTGCTTATGAGAGAACTTAGTGGGAATTCTCTGGTTAACTTGGTATTAGTAATGAACATTTTGTACTGTTTGTTTTAGAAGAATCGAATCAATCATTAAATGATCATTATGATCATTTGCAATAAAATTTGGCAGCATGAGACTACCAGCATTACTCGAAAGTATTACTACTTGCAGGTGGTAATCATCAGAAGACTTCTTGGGGACACTGGCTTGGGGGGCAGCAGCAGCAGCAGTAAAGCACCAAGGGCTTGAAACTCGCGTCGAAAATCATCCATACTTTTATTTTAATGACTGACCATTGAGGTCTACTGTTCATGAGTATTAATGCTTGGTTGTGCACAATATTTTACAATTTTAGCCTGCGGATTTTGCTGTATGGACCTTGATGGTATTTTGGTTATTGGGGCTGATGGAAAAGATTTCTGTGTGTATCATTTGCCACTGTAGGTATATATGCGCGACCACTTCATTCATGTTACTAAATATTTCTGGCTCGTATTGATGTGAGGATATAAGTAACACTTTATTGTTGAGTCTGTGTCATGTGTTTGGCCTCTCACATTCAGCACCATGTCCAGTTCATGAGATGGCCACTTTGGCCGGATGTGTCCTTATAAGGTTGTGATGCGCTTTGATTGTTTGAAGTGCTGGCAATGGTTCTGCAGGATTTATGTAAACTTTGTTATCTATAAATGTCATAAATTATATAAAAGTATACCAGGATAACAAGCCCGTCTGCCAATGGTCTTTTTTAAACGTATGTGCAATATACTCACGGGTGACAAATTGATGATCTCTGATCATTTTGGCTGACGGAGAGTGTTTCAAAGTCTTTATTCGCGCATGTGACATGCAACTTTTATTCAGTCTTATGATAAATGTTGTTGGGGTGTGAGTGCAGGGCTGTAAGGATGTGTAAAAAAAAGCTGGGTGTTTTTATTTGATTAAGATTACCCAAAGATTGATTTCGGATATGCATGCTTGAAAATTACTGATTCAAGTTTTATTCTCTATTAATGATGCATTAAAAGTGTCCCAATTTTTATTCTTGTGCTATTGAAAATAATATCGCCTGTCGAACACATGCCGTTAATTGGCACACTTGGAATACCTGACCATGTCCAGAATTTTTTTAATTGATTTAGTTTGATGAATCTCTTTTTCCTACATCTGATTTCTGTTGATATAATTCTGAAATTTCTTAGAATCTCCCAAATTTTGTAATGGGACCTACAATTGGAGCCCTAGTACATGTTTATTTTTATTCTATGTCTCTTATTATTTTGTAATTCAATCGAAGATACACGAATGAAGTCGCCATTCATTCTATTTGTTCAAATCTAATGTTTTTAATTACATTCTATATGTGATCGCCGGGCTACTTCAATTTTTGGTATAGCTTATATTGATATGAGCAATCCGTTTTCTTATTTCCAGTCTCTGGTTGAGTGGTTTATTTCTTATAGCCTTACGAACCTCAGTTCACTGTTGAGTTAGACAGCTTCTAAAACGACATTTCTATACTGACGCTTTTATATTATTTTTAATAATTTCATGGCCCCTGTAACCTGCTTGTGTTCACACAAACTCCCGATCCTCCCCTTGCTGGTTATTACTATAAACTTGATGCTAAATTAGTCTAAGTTTTCATCATCACCGTTGCGTATTGGAAGCTTATTAATAACTTTATGAAAGAGTCTATTTCGTTTTTTTAGCAGGAAACCTTTTTCAAGCGAAAATTTTAGCTACTTATGGAATTTAAATTATTTTGTACATCACTGTCGTAAATGTTTGATCCTATTTTCAGGCTTGTTAAGTTTTTTAATCTAATTGGTACATTAGAAATTTTTTGCCTTGAACATTGTTAACGAATATTTTTCAATAATGAGTAGTGGAGTCTTTCTCCTTTTCAGGAAAATTGTCTCTTTTTTCTTGGTAAAATATGCACGTTTAGAGAACTGACGTAACTAAATTGACTGACGGTTACACAGTATTACTCCCCTTTAGTCTCTCTTGGACAGCGCGTTCTCATTTCGGTCATAAATATTACTGCCAGTTTACTTAAAGAATCTTATTTCGTGTTGCGTTCTAATCAGGGTAACCAGATTGTTTCGGTTTGAGTTGATATAATTTTAAGTTCAGGTTGGAGCTTTAGTCGGATCAGCTTTTATAAATGAGTGCAAAGAACTTTATTTGTGTTAGCTGCATCGTATGGTCAAAGAAAGTGATTATGGTTGGGCAGATGTGTCCTTGTTCACCGATTACTTGGAAATTTTTTCTTTTCTCTGAAAGGATAATGGAATAATAAGTGTTGTGAAGAAAATTATTTCTGTTACTGTGTTTTACGGTTCTTTTTTAGTTATAATTTTAATTGTTTCTTTGCTGGTATTGATGGGTCTTGGAACAAGGTTTACTTGCATGTTGTTTAACTTAATCAATTATCTAAACATGGTAATTTTCTACTGTACTTCATCGTAATGAACAAAACTTTGAAAATGAGAATCTCTATCTTTGAAAGTCCCAAAGTTAGGTCCTCTGATCTCCGTGTGTGGAGCTTCTTTATACGACAGTTTATTATGCTTTTACTTACTGATTAGTTAGTAATTAGTTTGGGAGTACCTGTTGTTATTTTTGGTGTGAGGCAAGCTGTGTGATTGCGCTTGTGAAGCATTGTCCAGGCAGTGTGCTGGGTTCTATCACTGCGTTAGTTAATCTCAAACTAAACCTCAATTATTGTTTTTATTGTAGTCATGTTCTGCTAATTGAAGGAAGAGACAAGGTCTGCTGACCGTTGTTGCTTCTCGACCTAAAACTCATGTTATTAATTGCTGTAAATGAAATTAGTATAAATCTTAGGATTTTATTTGCTTCAAGTACGCATGTGTTCTCAGATGTTCCTGTCCGTCCAATATTTGAAAGCTGCAACTTTTTTCCTTTATTTAGCTCGGTTCTACAGCAATGAAACGAGCTAAGTTTCATCTTTATGAATGTTCTTATTAGTTTGCCTTTAATTTGCTTTCTAAAATTTCAAGACGTTCTTGTGACGTTATCTTCTTTTCTCGGGGTAATATTAGAAATATACTAAGCAAAAAGTTTATTTGAAACTTCTAGTATATTGTGGTGCAATGGAACATGTTTATTTTTGGTATACTATTTGATGAAAGTTTATGCTTCATTCTGTTTGTTTAACCTTAATGGCCGGTTCTCAGTAACAACTCAGTAACAACCATACTTGAATCAAATCGAATATAAGAGAATATATTCCCAGTCTCCGTTTTCGTCGCCTGCGTGGTGACCTCGTTGAAGTATATACAAGTATACTCATGGTTTATACAAGGTCCCCGAAGGATTACTAGAATTTGAAACAAAAACCAACACCAGGGGCCACGGCTATAAACTAAAAAAAATTTATCCCCGCGACAACATATCTTCTGATTTCTTCTCGCTTCGAGTCACCGACATGCGAAAAAGCCTCCCTGAAGATATTGTTGACGCTCCGAGTATGAAAGTGTTCAAGAACAAACTAGACAAGGCCATGCAGGAGCATATGTTTAGTCTTGAAATGGCTCTTATCCTACGTAACAATTGAAATCTAGGAGCGATTTTAAACCTGGCGTCCGTTGAAAAGATTTTATCAAAATGCCAGTCTAGTCAGGAGAAGTACAAGAATCGGCGACACGCCGAAAGTACTATACTTCAATGCCGAAGATACTATACTATAAATATTGAGCTCAAGTAAGATAACTATAAGTAGTAACTAACTATACTATAAATATTGAGCTCAAGTGAAGTGCCGGACGTTTCATCTTCACGAGCATCACTTAACGACATGGTTGAAATGATGGTTACCGGTAGTTCATCCATGATTTGAAGGGGTTGAGGCTCATATTACATAGCATTGGCTAGGATAGAAATTTAAATTTTTTCATATAAGCAGTAGTTTGAAAATTTAAGTGTGCATAAAAATATAACGCTTCACTTGAAAATGTATGTTGCAAAGATCTGAAGCATTGAATTAACCGCTTATGCTAATTCATGGACCTAGTTCAATATTAATATCACTGCATTATGTGCAATCGTGCGAAACAGTCCAAAAAAAAAATCAGATTGGTATTGTCCGACCGGTGATTAGTAGCTTGAGTAGCATGGTTGAACTACTTAGTAATTTTAGTATATAGTTCAACCAAGCTTGAGTGGAACTGAGTAGATCCTCGTTACTCGTTAGAAACCATTGTTATTTCATCCTTCGGTAGATAATTATTTTTGCATTCGTGTAAGTTGTTGACCCTTCTTTTCTCATAGCACAATCAATAAATAAAATACATTTTATTTTCAATTTATGAATTCCAGTTACTACTTCCGTTCAATTGTTAGCCTACATTTTTCCATAGATTGTTTGAATATTCAAGTTGTAACTGAAAGTATTAATTATAATTGTTACCCAGCTAAGAAACAAGTTGAACACTTGCCGGTGTAATCCAAGGTCAAAAGGTCGAACGCTACTGTAAAGGTTCAGCAGCGTGTCGAGTATTCGTGGAATCGTGTTTAGTTGCACGTAAGACCTTGCAAGTTAAACATCAAGTTATACATTGTGCGTTCGCAAGTAAGATCCTATAACGTCCAAAATGGGAGAAAGAAAGTTTTTCGTTGGAGGTAACTGGAAAATGAATGGCACCAAATCTGAAATCAATGGCATTGCCGAGTTTCTGAAGAAAGGACCTCTGGATCCCAATGTTGGTAAGAAAAAAATTTATTGTTAAACGTTTGAATTGGAATGCTTTCATATAAGTTATTATAAGCAATATTAAGCATTGACAGCAGAAGCAATGGTTTGGCAATTGGCAAGAATTAATAATTTATGCTGTTGTTTTATTCCTATTATTTATTTTTAATCAAATCAGCCTAAACTGATTTGATTAATTTCACCAACATGGTCTCAGTAATCATTGTTTTTAATTTTAACAGTAGCCTCGTCAGTAGGTACTAGGTAGATTGAATTTTTGAACCAGAGATTTTAGTACTGTAACTTAGTAAGATCTAATCACTGAACTGAATCAGTTTTAAATTCTCATGTCAGAATAGAAACTTTCAAATTGTATTTTTTTTTTTTGCCTGTTTTATACTGTGTGTGCATACCTACTTATGTTCCAAAGTTGAAGTTGTCTTCATTGTACCTACAGTACAGTACCGTAAAATCTTGTACCGTAAAATGGGGTTACTTTGACCGGCAGGGTAACTTTGACCACTTTTCGTTTTTTTAACAAAAACCCCCAAAACTCAAAAACGATTCGACATAGAAAAATTTTGTCAAAGGCCTAATACTGAGGCTACGTAACACATTAGAAAGATTTAAAAAGTTTGCATATCTAATAGGTTAAAAAATTAAAAATGTTACCCACGAAAAAGAGCTATTATTTAAAGCCTGTCGGAGTATCCCCTCCAATTTTTTTATTTTTTGGTAAAATAACTCCAGGTTTTGATGCATTGTAGTAGAACTCTTCTAGTTACATATGCGAAAGACAAATTTTAGAAAAGTGTCATAGTTTGCAAATGGGGGGTGCCGCCCCCCAATGGGGTAACTTTGACCACCTAATGGCAGCCGTGACGGGGTAACATTGACCGGCTTGGAAATTAAGTTAAAATTACCATAGGTACCTATAAACACCTATTAATGTTTTTTTCTTCATGTTTCAGACTCTACAGAGTCTTATATATGGTAATTTTAACTTAATTTCCAAACCGTGTTTCAGACTCTACAGAGTCTTATATATGGTAATTTTAACTTAATTTCCAAACCGGTCAATGTTACCCCATCACGGCTGGGTCGGCTGCCATTAGATGGTCACATTTTGCCCATTTGGGGGCGGCACCCCCCATTTGCAAACTATGACACTTTCCTAAAATTTTTCTTTTGCATACGTATGTAACTAGAAGAGTTCTACTACAATGCATAGAGTTATTTGGAGTTATTTTACCAAAAAATAAAATTGATTTTACCACCCGGTCAAAGAAACCCCAAGAGCTGGGGTAACAAAGACCATCACTTTTTTTTAAATTACATCAAAACTATGAGAGGCAGGAGCCAGCAATTTATGGTGAGTAAACTAGAGTATAGACCTGTATTTTGCATGTTTCAATTTAAGTTTAACGTATCTAGTAAAAAAATTGCATCATTTTGAAAAAAAAGTGGTCAAAGTTACCCCAGTGTACGGTATGCAATATCATAGTATATGGATAAATGCATAATCAGTGTGGAATGTAAAATAAAAATAAATAATGACACTATATATTATGACAGACAAGATCTTATTCAACTTACTCAGTCTTAGCCCTAAGGTAGTGGAAGAACAGACTCATAAATAGATAATGACTGACATGCATTTTTATTAATAAGTAGATACTAGATAGGAAGTAGTTCATCTATGGGAAATTCAGACTGGAATCTTGCAGCCTTGAAAAGGGCAGGAAAGCTCTGGTCTGGTAGTAGCTCAGATCTCAAAAGGTACCTAGTTATATTCCATACCAGAAATGTCATGAGCTTAGTCAGCCTCAGATTATTCCAGTTGACTTTGCCACTGCTGAAATGGCAAGAATGATGTGTTCATGGCTTGAAAAGCAGCTGCATTTCATGCCTCATGCCTGGTTGTGGTATTTCCCAATCATGGCATTGGCATGATGGCACCATCCCAAAATGGCACCATTGTTATACGAACATGTTTGCTCTTCATCTAGTTGTAGGTTAACATTATTCCTTATTATATCTCAACATTTACCAATGATTTATTTGATAAAGAAAAATGTAAAATTAAAATTCATCTGGTAATAATGTGTGCCAGAAAGCTTTGCCAATGCATTGGAAAAAGCTCCATATATAAGGGTTTATTATGACCAATATTCATAAGGTCTACAAAAAAAATCAGTGATAACAGGATGAGTTCACAAATTTTAGGCACAGTTCAGTGCAGGGTTGCAACACTGGATTACCTACATGGCCTTGCTTAATTTTGCACTATATATTCATTATATTGATATTGAGTAAGTCCTGATAATTGTTTCGATATATTCAATGAAGAAAAAGTAGATTTATACCTTCATTTTGATAAATTTTTCTTTAATAGTACAATACATGAGTCAGGTAAAATTTGTTAATGCTGCTTTCTGCAAACTCTTCTTTGTTTAAATTGTACATCACAAGACTTCTTCATTTTTAACATCTGAACATAGTAATTTATGTTAATTGCAGAGTGCAAAAAATTTGCCTCAGAAAATTACCATTTTTTTATTTCTATCTCATTTACCTGCTGCATTACTGTAGCAGTGATGAAATCACTACATTTCATTATGATTCATGGCTGCCAGTGATAAACCTGATTTTTAGTTGAACAAACCCATTTAACATAATTGTTTAGATGACCAGTTACTTATCTAAAATTTATTTTTTTATTTTTCTCTGCCAAAGTCAAACAGATTAATTCAGAATATGCCTGCTCCTGAATTGTATTCACACAGTTCTTAACCAGTCGTGCAATCTATATCTTAGTCTGCATTGCTTTTTTTCTTACAATTAGTTAGAAAAATTGTGGTACAGTACAAGTTGAACAATTCGAATTTTATTTTCAGAGGTGGTTGTTGGCTGCCCACAATGCTACCTTGCTTATTCACGCGAGACTGTGCCACATAACATTGGTGTTGCTGCCCAGAACTGTTACAAGGTATAGTCAGTTATAATATCTTGCTTCTGGTCTTTAGTATAAAAGATTAATTGCATATTTTTTTATGAAATGTGCGCCTTTATTCCATATGCTGTTCCTTTCTGTTATGTAAAAGTATTCTTTATGAGATTTAGAGCTTACTTTTAAAATAATTTGTGGCTCAAAAATGATGCATCAATTAGTCATTTCCCTATAAGTTTCATTTATTAACATCACAATAAAATCTATATACAGGCAGCAAAAGGAGCTTACACTGGAGAGATTGCACCTGGCATGATCAAGGATCTGGGCTGCGAGTGGGTGATTCTTGGCCATTCGGAGCGTAGGAACGTCTTTGGAGAGTCTGATCAGCTGATCAGTGAGAAAATTGGATTTGCCCTCTCTGAAGGACTCAAGGTAAGAATTTTTCCACCAACTTTTTCTTCATGTGTATAAATGACATGGATTCTGACTTAGTATTAAAGGCAAGTGGATGGTGAAAACTTGATCTTCTGTGATTGTGTGCAGCCAGGCTTTCATTTAGGTCAGAATTTTTCAAACAAATTAATTTTCTTATTACAAGGAATTACCATCAACTTAGGTACTGATGTATAACATGTATTTGTTGATACATTTTTGTATAATTAAATATTAAGTTATTTTATTGAGTTGAAATAACCCTGAAGGTTTTTATTCTTCATTCTCATTGTACATAGGTACACCTAATAAAACAGTCCACCTGGTAGTAAATTACTAGTGTCATATTGCACAATATTGAATTCTTAAAGAGCACTAAAAAATTTGTATATCTATGGGCCTTATTTTTCCTTCAAATTTGTCCTACACATGTAACCCACATGTCGTGTTATGCTGACGAAATTAATTCATTTTCATATGCTCTGATGCTAACCTATTTTACTTCATATATAACTTCTTATTGATTTTTTTTATCAAAAGATAAGTGGGCAAAAATCCTATGAAATAATTCACCATTTATAATATCCTTTTTGCAGTTGACGAATTTATATTTAAATAAATATTCTAGTATTGATTTCAATCCTAAATCATACTGTGAAAATATTAAATTGCTTTATACTCAAGTCTAGTCATCTCGAACATGATAACATTAATTAATTTGATTTCTGCCATTGATTAAATATATATATTTCGACCTATGCTGCGTTACTTGAGGTTTAATTTCTATGTCCCAAGTAAAGCACATGCTTGATATTGGTGCTTGGCAGGTGATCCCATGCTTTGGAGAACAGCTGGCAGAGCGTGAGAGCGGCCGCACCCAGGAGGTTGTGTTCTCTCAGCTGGCCGCTATGAAGCCTAACATCACTGACTGGTCTAGGGTGGTGCTGGCCTACGAGCCCGTCTGGGCCATCGGAACAGGTCAGTCCATATATAAGAGTTTGAAGTTTGGTAATGAAGTAAGTAATTTAACTTTAACTATCACTTATTTTAGATATCGAGTCAAGGGATGAAGACTCAATGCCACCATTGTCTATTTAATGGTGAAATTCGACTCTCAATGAGTACCTGTCTATACTAAATTCTATATTTCGTACCAGTGTTAAATGCAGATAAATCTATCTATCTGAACATAGAAACAATGTAGTGCATATTTATTTCATTACACTGATATTCTTGGGTTCTCAGGCAAGACCGCGACGCCGCAGCAGGCCCAGGAGGTGCACGCCCAGCTGCGCCAATGGCTGCGCGACAACGTGAGCGAAGAGGTGGCGAACAGCACACGCATCATCTACGGCGGCAGCGTAACGGCCGCGACCTGCAAGGAACTCGCGTCCATGCCTGACATCGACGGCTTCCTCGTCGGAGGCGCCTCACTCAAGCCCGAGTTTGTCGCCATCATCAACGCCAAGTGCTAATTTTGTTGCACTGATTGCTATTATACGTTCATGTTGCTGGTCTAGAACATGAATATTATTTACTGTTCTATTACAATGATAGTTTCTACTTCATAAATTACGGTTAATTGGAATACATTTGACGTCGCTGCAGTGGACGAAGTAAGACGTAAGTATATATAGGTAGCCTATCATGATAAATTTTCAGCATGGCATCTCCCACCCTTGTTACAAATTGGAGGAATTTGCGTTCTTCACTCACTCATGACCACGAACTAGTCGACAAAGATTTTGACTTTACATTGTGATACGCTATATGATTATATTTAGAACGTTTTTATTTTTTCTGAAATTCTATCTCCGTTACTTATCTTCTCTACAGTATGAGTCAAACGATGTTAGAAAGCATTTTTCTTCAAGCATGCAAATGAACTGGTTACAAGCTTAGAATAAATGCGTATGCACCAGTCTTCTGTGGTTAATTGAACTTAAAACAAATAAAATTGAACTTGAAACGCAATTTTCATTGAAATCCTCTTTCCTTTTGGTTTTTCCACTTGAGATTTTTAGGGTCCTAGGTACAACGAGGACAATAATAAATAATAATTAACGTCGATTTGTACAGTTATATTTTAAAATGGCACCAACACGAGAGTTGAACTTTCATTCCTCTTTTGAAGAAAATTATCAACAACATTATTTAATTAAATTAATATCAATTATCTGGTAATTAATAATTTTTGCTTCCTCCTCAGGGATCTATGAGATTTAGTGATGGAGACGGACACGACTAGGTTTAACATACTTAATTGAATATATGGTTTAGTGAACACCACCAATTTCATAAATAGTTGCGGTGCTTGAAGGCTGATATTGCATTCATCACGGTTAAAAATGTAAGTCTGTTGCATCTCACTAAAATTTGAGATCTATCCCGTGTCACGTTATGAACCTGACTCATCACAGCGACATTTCATAGTTATTTAACTGAAATGATGCGAGGAAGAAATACATTATGTGATACAATTTTCCCACCGATTGAGAGTTATTTAATCTTCCAGACACTAGCTGAAGAAAAATTTACTTTGTTTGACGAGCTCAATGTCAAAGTCGCCCAACTTGGGTATCGCTTCTAGTGTCGAGTTGACTCTCAATCTAGCACCATCGGCAGCAGAGCCGTCATGAGTGAAATTCCTGAAAAGTAAATTTCATCGTCAATTCGCAATTACTGAGGAGATTATAAGTATTCAAATTAAAGGCCTTTTGAACAACAGGAAAAAACTTTCAAATCTTGAAAGAAATTGCAGCAGTCGCTCCAAGGCCTAATGAAAAAGGTCTGAGAATTGTAGCCTGTTTATCAATTTATCTTTCCTGAACTCTTAAATTAAAAACCGCTGTCATCAGGGAAGGCAATTCATCCAAAAATTTACCTCGTGACAACTAAGGCATCACAGTTGAACTAAATCTAGAATAGACTTACGCTTTCAAAGCTTATTAAAGAATTGATGTCACTTATTTGCTTAATTCGCATGTTAACTAAAAATATGAAAGAAAAGAATAGTCCACACAAATTCATATCTTTATAGAAAACGTTTTGGAGTCCAGCTCCGAAACGGAGCTGAAAACGTTTTCTGAGTCCAAAGCTTATTATCGATAGAAGCTGACTGTATAATTGCTTTTAAAATTACAATTTCGGCAAAATAAAAATGAAAAATTACAAATTTACGTCTAGCAGTACATCTTGTTATGTCGGTTTTTAAATGAGCTGGTAGAATAGGTTAAGTTATTACCTGACCAAGAAACAAATATGTACTCACTCGTAAGGGAAACCATATCGTTGGCACATGAACTTGGACAGGTCCGACAATATTGGCTGGGAGTGCAGAGCAACGAATTGGTCGCGACAAATCTAGAAGAAAATTGTAACGTCTTCAAAATACATGCACTTCAAATTTACTTATTTACTCGTAATATCATGAATAAACACTAATGTATAGTTTGAACCGTACACGGTGGTAATTCCGTGGTGCGAGTAAATATTAATGTTTTTGACATAATAATAATAATAATAGCGGTTTCAGCGTTAATTAGGCCGTTAAACCCACTGCCCATTCTTAACTTCGCAGAAAATTCACAGCTTGTAGCGAAACTGTCGCACAGACTGGAATCAAATCCGCGCCTATCAGCTTCAATCCAGGTACTCTGAACTGTTATCACTGGGCCCATGCCATTGTACCAATTATTCTAAATTTTACTACAGCAGTGGTTTTTTATTTATGATACTTGTGAGCCGTTCAGTGTCGTGCAAGATTAAGTTAAGTTTTTATTATTCCATAAGAACGTTCACTACCGCGTAAAATTATTTGGCAATCATTTCTTATTGTTGTCAACCAGTTATTAATAAAATTACATCATAAAACTTACTCAAGGCGCCAATCATTATTACCGGACCAAGTTGAATATAACCTCCCAATGCTACATTTTAGTGGCGCAAATTATTCGACGGATAATTGGTGGCATACGATTACAAAAAGTTAATGAAAACTGGTCCCTGCAAGTGAATATTAAGCGAAATTACAATAAATTTTGGAAGGGTGGATAAATGATATTAGAATTAATTTTGGGAGCAGGAATTAAAGGAAGAAGCACCTTGCGGTGGATAAATGATATTAGAATTAATTTTGGGAGCAGGAATTAAAGGAAGAAGCACCTTGCTCATGGTGTCAACAGTTGACGCATGTGTCCAGTAGCAGTCGTGCACAGACGCGAAGGTGAGGTGATGGCGGTGGCAATACAGAGCTGTGAGCATCATGTGACATGCGTCCAGTGAGTGGATGAAGTTGGGGGGGAAAGCGTTGCGCTGCTTCACTGAGTTCGGTGCGCTGTAAATACGAGAGTTGTATTTTATTAGACGAGTGCGTAATGCTGAAGTAATGACCGATAATTTGAATTCAATTTTTAGACGAGATTATTTAAAATTATTCGAATTAGAAGAAAATCACTAAAAAATTAGAAACCAGAATTTTGATTACTAACAAAGATTAGGAAGTCCAAGAAGCTTCAAATTTAAATTAATAACAAATGAAAATAATGATACGGAATCAATACCAAATATATAAGCTTTGCAATTTACTCGCTAGGCTCGGTAAATATTCAACTCTAAACAAACATAGAGGCATACAGCATTGCGTTTCAAATTACAACCTATGAATAATTACGTTGAGGAAATGATCTTACTATAAATTATCCAGTGATGTGATGGAGGAAGCATGTAACTTCTGCACCTGAGCGCTAGACGAGGGCTTGTGGTAGGGCTGTACAATGGGCAGACCCAGAGGCGTCACCCACTCCACACTCTGGCCACACACCTGTTGCAGCAACACGTCAATAACACGTCACTGACCGCACACCTGTTGCAGCAACACGTCAATAACACGTCACTGACCACACACCTGTTGCAGCAACACGTCAATAACGTCACTGACCTCACACCTGTTGCGGCAACACGTCAATAACGTCACTGACCTCACACCTGTTGCGGCAACACGTCAATAACACGTCACTGACCACACACCTGTTGCAGCAACACGTCAATAACGTCACTGACCTCACACCTGTTGCGGCAACACGTCAGTAACGTCACTGACCACACACCTGTTGTAGCAACACAACAACATCAGGATATATCATCAACAACATTCATGCCATTATTTTCAAAATAATCATTCAACCATTTAAATCAACCATTCATGAAAGAAATACAATTCAGCATATTTATATGGTTCTTCACGCAATTAAATGCTTCTAAGGAAAATCCGCACTAAATCAACAATTTGCACGTCGTAAACCAAACTTACCGTATGTACTATTTTTGAGGACATGCAACAAACCTAAACTAACTACAAGCGGAAGGTAGTTATACGATTCAGCTCTATGAATATAAAAAATGCAGCCCTCATACTTGACGATAGCCAGAAATAGTTGTTGTGAANGTTTTTGTATATTGAAGCCAGTTAAATGGTCAATATTTAGCTCATTACCTTGCTCCATACAAACTTTACAAAGCTAATGAATAGACTTATCAATAATTGTTTACCCAAAAATCCCAAAATGGTAAACACCACCTTGGCCTGTTGGCCATTATTGAAGGCAATAAGTGCCCTTTTTAGCCATCCATTATGATCCATATACTGTTATTGTTAGTAGGCTAATTGCAACATAAAAAATAACACCTCAAAAAGACGAAAAAGCTGAAAAAATCAAAAAAATCAAATAAATCAAAAAAATCATGAAAAAATCAAAAAAATCATTGATTTTTGATTTTTTGATTTTTTTAAAAAAATCAAAAAAATCGCCAACCCTGGAACGCAATAGCAAAACAGTGGAAACAATGGTAATAGGCAAATAATTACAGATTGCAAAGAAAAACACCTAGTTCAGAGACCAAGAAACGTTTTGTCAGACCTTAGAGATGAGAGTGGCACAATCAGTGAACCAATCCTGAATTTCCTTGGTAGCCATGAACATCATCTCGAGCGACCGGAACGTGGCATCACTGAGGTACCTAGACGCTGCTGACCGACTCTCCGGCGGGAAGCCCTCCAGTTCTGGAAGCGAGTTTGTATTAATAATCACAAAAATAAGTGCAAATGCTTTTTACAACCAGTTGATATGGATAATTACAGATACAAGAACAATGATTGTTCAAAATAAAAATTTATCACAAAATATTTTTATATATGAATTCGAAAGATATTTTCAATGCTAACACAGTTCAAATACTACTTGATTCAGCCAGCTCTCACGATACCAATTTAAAACACATATGCCTTACAAATATTCTTCATTGGCACGGACAAACGGTCTGTGCCATTGATAAATCCTCACGCGTGATACGGGCGAGAATATACAAAAACACTAATTAATATGTCAAAATGTTAGTCTACTTCACAACCCAACTTCCATTAATAATACTATCATTTTCAGATAATGCATTTGTACCTTTGAGCTGTTTGTCAATTTGTAGAATGGAACCATATCTAGTGACCCCATACACTGTGGTCATGACGGTCTGCTTAACAACTTTTCTCTTGATGAAGCCTTCAAGTGTCCGCGCTATGGCGTGGTTCTTACTGGCAGGGTCCGCCGCATCGCTGGCACGCATCTTCTCAACCAAGTTAGCCACTGCCGTGTACACGTCCTGCCGATAATATAATTGAAAAATATAAGCACATTATAAAACACGAGGTCCATGCAGTTTTATTAGCTACCTTCGGAAATAATTAAATTCAAAATGATAAATAAGGCAAATGTGAAAACAGAGCATCAGCAATCATGTAAGTTCGGGGGAAACATGAATTCACTAACTGGCATTGCTCATATCTGAATGAGGAGAACGAGACCAATTCACGAGACCAATCTTACGCATGTTTCAGTTGTAATTACTTTTTTCCATTGCAGGAAAATCAAATCACGCCTAATGTAGCTGCACTGCAAGAGTATATGAGGGAAAAGTAGGCAGTTCAAAATTAACCTGAGGCACAGGACTGGGTGCTAGATTGACGCTGGTGGCACCCTCGACGTCACGACCCAGGGCAGCATAGTGCTGAAGGCCGTTGCAGCTCCCGTCTTGATGGATGGGCAAACGACTCATGAAACCCTCAGGGTCCGGTGAGTGCAGTGCCGCGTGAAGCTGACAAGTGATCATAGCAAAGGTTTCATTGAATACTGAATATCATATCGTGAAAATCAAATAATTTTTTTCAAATGAAACTAATAACATGAAATATTCAAAGAATCAATGACAAACTTCGGAGCCGAAGCATGGACGGAGATGCGGTACAACCAACCTCCTTGCAGGCAGCCAGTGTCTGCCAGGGCTCGTCACTCGTGGTCCACCATCGGTTGCCTGTCAGAGGGCGTTCAGCGCTGTCAAAAATCTCAGGCAGCACAGACTCGCAATACTCAAGTCGGGCGCTGAGAGAATTCTGCTTTTGAAATCCTGTCAAGTTGATCACGTGTGTCTGTTGAAAGAATATACACGGTAATAACCACTCGACCCAAGGTGCAACAATGACTCAACCTTCTGCATGGCAGTTTAAATGCTATTTTTAATAAATTTATCGCATTGCTTGCAAGGCAAAAGACTGAAATACGAACATATTACGGAGCACAAATAAATAATATTTCAGCAGTGCTGAAGTAGTTTACCTTGAGCCAGTCCAGCCCCACTTTACCAAGTGGCTTTGGAATAGCGAAGTGGAGCAACGACCGGAAAAGATCGGAGTCAAAGTGGCTGAAATGAGGCGGGCAGGGATAAGCGCGGCCTCTGAAGTCAACGTTGTGAGGAAACCAAAAAACTCTATCGCGGAACTGCAAATATTCACAAAAATTACAAATATTGGTCGGCTAGAAAATGAGAGTATGTTGCATATATATAAAATTTATTGGAGAAAATCACAAGATAAGTGAAAAATCTAACCTCATAAGATAAGAGAAGGGTTTATATTCAGTGATGAGGGAAAATTTTTTGAGGAGAAGTCGTTTGGTTAATATTTATGTGGATAGAAGTTATATTTTCTAGGAATGAACAGTTACAGTCCAAGAAAGCAGTTTTCCACCCAAACGATTAATTATAATAACTACGATTTGAAAGGCACGCAACCTTTTCAAAACAATTTCTTATGACAATAAAAAGTCTTTCATTCTTCCAAGTACTTTTTAAATTTGTGCAACTCACATGACTAGCCATGGATATCTTGTACAAGGCGCTGCACCACAAGGAATGCATTTCATTCTTTTTCTTAAAGTAATCGAGCATCATGCTGTTGTGTCGAGCTCGCTCATTAGCAGATGGCTTGGGAGGCAAGGGCGCAGGCTTAGTTAGCGCTGAAGGATGCTGAGGAACGTCTAGCTCGGCGCCGCTGTTCGAGTTGAACACCTGAGGCAAAAAAGCTCAAGAATATTATGGCGTTTTTCATAAGCTAACACAAGCATGCTTCAATGTTTAACCGAGTTTCTAATACATAAATACGTTGCTTGCATCCTTGTACACTCGGTAACACATCTCTAATTTTGATAATAAAATCAGTCATGAGGCGACTTTTGGTACACTGGAGTAATGAGTATGGATGGTCATTTATGCGTAAGGTAGACGAAGTCAAGAGGCAAAGAAATAGATTATGCACCAGTTTAAATTAAAATCAGTACCTTAAATTCTATCATCTATAGTACGGATTTGAGAAATCTAAGCAATACTACTATGATTGAAAAGGACATACATGACTATCAAGGGAAGCAGAATGATCAGAACAAGTAACTATTCAACTATAAAAATTAAAAAGTTTTTGATATTTAAAACTTTGCGTGTTCTGACAGGATAATAATATAGTACAGTAATATAAGATGACAATAGAAGTTACCTCACTGATAACATCCAGCATGGGTGCGTTGACCCTCCAGGGAGTGCAGGACAGGTTGTTGAGGCTGTCCATGCAGGGTCGGAGTTGTTCCGTGGGAGTGCTGCGCACTTTCTCGTTGTAGTGGTGGCTGTTGGGCGGACGTCTGGCGAGGATATGGTTCACGTCAAGTGCTGTCGTGCTTTAGGCAGCAACACGCAATTTTATAAACAAGTAACATGGTTGCTGTACTTAAACCTAGACTTAAAGTTTCCTAGACATAAGAACCAGGATTTAAAACTGCAAGAGGTTTAGAATTGAACTTTAATTTAATAAATAGTATCGGTGGAATTCGTTAAATATTTAGCCTGATCCCGAAATACAACATCTCACTACCACCTAATAGGAGATGGTACAGACCTGACCATGGAGTTAGGGAGCACCAGGTTACCGCCGGTCTCGCAGGTAACCCACGGACGGGGCGGACAGGTCATCGGCAGTTCGGTTGGGAAAAAAGAGAGTTCGTTGGTCTCCCTGTAGAGCTGGCACAGCAACGAGTGCGCACGGAGCTCCAGGACGTTGTTGTAGCCACACACTCTGTCAACTTCCTGCATCGCGGGCAGCTTGCGTCTGCAGATGAACAGCTTATTGCCATCTCATGCGATTAGATTGCTTCTATAAACTTAATGCTAGTCGGAGAATGATCATTTTATTACATGAAATAAGCAAGAACACCCTTGCAATGATTATTTTTATGTAGAAGAATTAGACAAATTAAACACTATAAGGAACCAATGCAAAGAGCTACACGAGTAAAGAATAGTCTTGGTTGTTGAAATCAATGTGAATCGACCGACATAAGTGAAAAAAAATAATTAGAACTTAAGTGAGATCAAGATAATACAACAACTATCATTAAATTCATAACAAAGACAATCAGGGCATAGGCCTTGCATTAAACGTGAGACAACAAAATTGCACATAACACTGAAGTAATAAGCATGGACAGATAAGCAAGTGTTGAGAGTGACGCTAGATATGAGGATGCTAACTTCTCAGTGTTGATGGGATGCCACACGAAGATGTTGCGGATGATGAGCGTATAGAGGAACTTGCCGAGCTCGAGTCGCGTGAAGAATGGCCAGTCAGGCGGGCGGTGGGTGAGACGAGGGCCCTCGGGGTGCAGCTCGCACAGCTGCTCCATTGCGACGCGGCCGTTCAAACCACGCTCTGGAAAACGGCTCGGATTAAGTGACAACATTTATGGGTAAAGTCTATCTTGACTGCAAACATTGTTATCGGGCACGCTGGTCCATTTTAGTTGAAGATATTATTATTATGATTATTAAAGATATTTTTTTATTATGATTATAAAAGATATTATTATTAATATTAATTAGTTCTTATTAAAGCACATGAACGTAAAAAATAACACTGGATCATATAGAACATTTACTTAGTCTCTCAAATACACTTGGTATGAGCTAATTAAAAATAATTAAATTAATAATATTACATGCCATTTTCTTGGTATATTCCCATTCATGGACATATTTTAGGCTTTGCATTTTTCCAACATACCGTAGAGCCACACACTTCTGAATTAAATGTGGGCACTCACGGCACGATCTTCACGACAAATCGTGAACATAAAATTTTCTTGGCACCACCAGAATGACCACAAGCTGACTTCTATATTTATAAGAAACTAATCAAAAACTAAATTCTATAATACTGATTTCGAACAACGAACCATATATTTAACATGTTGAGTTTTGAACTAAAGTTTCAATACAAGAATTGTGACTGTACGATTAACATTAATATATATTCATTAACCCATTGTGGGCGGCATGCTATAATGAACACTAAAAATATCACTGACCATTAATAAAAAATAAATAACATTAGTGCAATTCGCTATAATGTGACAAAGGAGGAAGTAGGAATGCAGATGTGCTCCTCACCCGCATGATCCCCGTAGATCTTGAGGTACTCGGCATATATCTTCTTGAATTTGCCCAGTAAACCGATGTCTTCTTTATATCTGCAATTAAAAATTACGAGGTACTATACTTCAGGCTAATTTCAAACACTTTCCCACTGCCAGCAAACCGATGTCTTCCTTATATCTGCAATTAAAAATTATGAGGTACTATACTTCAGTACAATTTCAAACATTTTCCCACTGCCACAAGTGTCTTGACTTCAAATATTCTTATTTCCCATGCAAATAACTCAATTTAACATTTAAATATCTATAAAAATTAATCAATGTTCAACCTTGAGAAATAATACGTAGAATAATAGAAAGACCGTCTGACTCACTTGGAGGAGAACAGGCCAAAGACTGTCTGTCTGACTCACTTGATGGAGAACAGGCCAAAGGCCGTCTGACTCACTTGAAGGAGAACAGGCCAAAGACCGTCTGACTCACTTGAAGGAGAACAGGCCAAAGACCGTCTGACTCACTTGAAGGAGAACAGACCAAAGACCGTCTGACTCACTTGAAGGAGAACAGGCCAAAGACCGTCTGACTCACTTGAAGGAGAACAGGCCAAAGACCGTCTGACTGATGCGGTAGTAGAGGAAGTTGAGTGATGGAGAATTGCCCTCCGACCCACCAGCGATCGTGTGGATCTCCTGAGAGCAGCATACTATTAAACACGGTGAAAATAGAGCTTCATCGCCTGGATTTATAGTGGGAGAAGAGCACATCATAGAATTTATTTCTTTTGAGAAGAAAGCATCATTGCTAGAATTTGTCGTGAGAGCATGAGGGAAGCCAGATTCAATGTCCTGATTGTCAGTGAAAGGAGTATTTGAGCATTCACAATTTTGGTCAACATTGAAAGAACTCAGATTGATCTCTCACAAATCATTAACTTCCATCAATGAGACACAAATATTGCCGAGAATTTAATTTACACACAGTAATTTTGAATATAATAATAGATAAAATATAAACAATTCAATTAAAATCTGCGCTGCTCCAAGAATTTCAAAGCTACCCATGATCATTGAGCTGTGCATCTTAGATAATAAGGCAAAATTCACAAAATATAAACATTAAAAACAAACCTGCATCATGATTTGAACCATTTGTTCTGGTGAGAGAATCATGAGGTAGGGATACAAGCAAATGTTTTTGTCCAAATCATCGGCAAAGAATTTTTTCCTGAGCTTCTCGACTTCGGTAGTATAAGCCTCAAGCAACGCCTTGCGCCATCGGCCCTGCCACACATCCAGCTTTTTCTTCTGTTGACCGGAACAATTCACATTATTTGAAGACCATGTAAATACACTTTGCACACTAAGTAATCTTGACTTGCTTACTAGTACGGAAAATTTATCCAGCACGGCAGAAGAAAAACGTGTTAAGGAGAAAACACACAAAAGAAGAAAAGACAGAAAACACAAAAGAAGAAAAACACAGAAGAAGAAACACGGCAGAAGAAAAATACAAAATAGTTATAAGTAATAGATCTTCTAGCGCTTCATAAAATTGTTATTTATTTTGTGCCAAAGACCACACTTTGAGGTATGCGGTGTTGGAACAATCATAGCCTATTCTGGAACAGTCACAACCTATCCTGGAACAATCATAACCTATTCTGAAACAATCATAAACTATTCTTGAACACTTTTAACAATTCTTGAGCAATCATATTCAATTCTGGAAGAACCATAACCTTCTGGAACAATCATAAACAATTCTTGAACACTTGTAATAATTCTGAAACAATTATACATAACGCAACCCATCAAAACAAAACTGTAACTAGACAGCAGGCAGGTCGCTCACAAGGTACGGGTTGTGAACCATGGAGTGCACACTGGGAATGGTCGCTACTCCATGAGCCTCCATGGCGAACTGCTCCTCCACGTCTTCAGGCGACGGCACGAACAATTTAGACGAGCCCATGTTGGCTGAACTCAAATTATCGTTTGATTTTAAAGAAGAAGTATAATCCTGCCATAAAGGAAAAAGAAACATTAGTAAAGAATTCATCGAAACATGTGATGATGCATTTATTCACGGTTTCTATATAAATTAATTCCCAACATAGTCCACTCAGATAACATATAGAATGGAGTAACAAAAATGAGCTTAAATATAACACATTATCACGACCAGCAGATATGGCAATTTTATCAAATTGTACACAATACTGACAACAACATTATTTAATACATAGCAAAGTTTATTGCAACAACCAATGGTCATATGAACCCAGTAGTCACACAACACATTAAAACCTAGAACATATAACACATGAACGGACTTATTTGATCATAATAATTAGTTGCCTGAGGGCACATCACACACCATGTGGTCATTAGCATTCTCCAGCAGAGGGCAGGTATAGCCAGGCGTGTCATGCCGCCTGATGGGTGAAGGCGAATAGTGAGGGTGGACACGTCGCACGCCAGCGAGGGTGGCAGTGTACAAGTCACCCAGGAAGTTGGCTTCAGCAAACAAGTGGTCCAACGTCAAGCCCTAAAGAAGAATATTATTAATTGAATTCATGGGAACTAAGATATCATTATCATAAGCAACCGTTTGTTATGATGGCAGGTACATACTCTTCTTTAGAGATTGTACAAAGTCTTCAAAATAACTACCCACCTATAAAACAAAGCGAGAAACTGCCAGCCTAAAACTGAATACAGTGAATTTGATTCTGATAATCATTTAACAATTAATAGGTTGCATGTAAATAATGCGGAAATGAGCCGAAGAAAGTCAGCATTTCCAGCACCCCATGTTTGAACTCTACTCTTGGCAGTGTGTGATAGCCTTATAAAGAAAACAAATTCTCATGCATTAAAACTGCAAGCTCACCTGTTGCAACATTTGATCCAGTACAGCTGAAATCTTTTGCTTGATCATCGTCATGTCTTTTTCTGAAGTAACACCATACCGAGAATTTGACGTCTGTATGAATTTTATAACACAGTTATCTGGCACATGCAACTTATTCAGTGATAATGAGCCAGGGTCATTAAAAGAACTTATTGATTCCTCTATAGCCTTGCCATTTTGATGACAGGGCAAGGGAGAGCCAGGATTAATACTGTCACTGGAGTAATTCTGAGCCATCTTGTGCAGAGCGGATATGTGCAGGGCGTACGTACACGCCGTTGGACTCAAACCACTGTCCTTCAGCCATGAGTCAAGCTGAACAACTCGCATGAAGTGGCCCTGAAATTTCGAAGTTTGAGTGAAGTGAATGAAATAGCATCATGAGAATACTTACAAATCAATTAAGTTGTCAATAGAAAAAAAAATTTAATTGATCAGTTTCATCCAAAAATCGAACAAAATTAGTATGTTACTTCCAATCATTTTGAAAACTTGATTGGAGTTAGAAGTATCATGTCAGTCATTCTAATGAAAATGCTAGAAACGTTTATTAATATACCCTTCACAATAAGAAAAAATGGAATCAATAAATTTTTTTAAATTTTTAAATTTTTTCAACTAGAATGCTGGAAAAATGTCAAATTTATTGCATCAATAATTCCATATGAATACAAAAAATGCTGTACATTTATTATATACAACCAATAGACATTGAAGTACTCACTCTAGAAATTGAAAATTGATTTCAACATTAAATCTACTACTCATTCTTAAAATAATCACTGAACTCAAACATCAAAACCACAAATCTACACAACAATAATTGGTATTGAGCTGAGTATTCTATTGACCAAATCTAATCTGCATAGGAGACTTAGGGAAAATAAAACAAATAGGATGCATACAAGGATATTTCATAGATCAACCAGAACATTATTGGTCCCCATAGCATTTGGGCTGTTAATGAACTGGTATCAAATATTTATTTATCCCTTATGGAAAATATTTACTCTCTACATATATATAACTATAAGAGCAGATAATAAATATGAAAAATATAGATTGTTTAAAACATTATAAAAGCATAAATCTGAACATGAGAGTTAAACAATAGGTGCATATAAAATCCATAAGATGCAACTTACTGCTGTGTATTGCCCAGCCATTACTATATTGTATGCAGTAACTGAGGTGAGAATGGTGCCTTTAGTATGACGGTAATGAGCCAGAGTATGACATGCTCGGTTATACATTCCAGCAGTTACCTGTACACAAATAATCAAAACATATCATTTAAGTTAAGTTATAACAAATTGGTTACAGACAACTTCTCAAAATGTCAAGTCTCCATGAAAATTTAATACATGGAAAATGAAAAAGCTTCTTGCATTGTATGTAGTGGTAACATACCTTTATAGCAGTAAAAAATTCAGATTCCTAAAAAAATGAACAAAATCTTTCCATGTTTGCAATAATAAATGCTTCTATTTATTAGTAACAACAAAATATTAGTAAGTTTTGAGCATATAAAAGAAATTCATATTAAATAAATATAACATTGTTTTTCTATGCAGAATCTCAATGCAGTTTTCCATAAATGAATATGGCAAAGCTGGCAAATATATTTAAATTTAAGTCAAATAATACTGACACAAACTGAGAGATAGGCTTCCAGTTCTCGGTTGAATCTGAAATTTCTTTGCTGCTTTCGAAGAGCCTGTACTTGTTTTTCTATACGATCCAAATTTTTTTCTTTAGACTTGTGACATTTTTTCTTGGATTTTGTGGCCTTGACTGCATTTTGAAGCACATCTTCTGAGTCTTTGTTCTTTATTGCTAAAGAAGAACTTGAAGCAAGATTATCCTCATGGTTACCATTGGAAGAATTAACTGCATGCTGACTGGAACAGGGGCCAACTGCTGGTGTTGAATAAAAATACAACGGAATGCATTAATTTAAGGTGTTTTTATTTACACTGGTAATAGGTGTCATTTTGATTTTTTCTTCTTGCCACTGTGCAAGTAAAGGCAAGTGCAGACATATGCAAACTAAGCCCATGATGAGCTATATAAACAAAATATCATGTGACAGCTCAAATAAAATGTCTACCAATACTTTAGTTTTGTGCATTCATTTCAGACTTGTATCAAAATGAATGAAAAACAGCATTAAAATTTATTCATAAAGGAACAACACCCTGTGGTTTTTTTGCAGCAGAATTATAAAACTAACTTTTTTGCTCCAGCATCTTTGCCATCAAGCACATGACAATGGTCTTACCAAATACTAAAATAAAATACAGTATATACATGAATTTAATTGTGATATCAAGAATAGAAATTAATAAGCAAAGCTAGATAAATAAATTATATCAGAACTAAAAAATGAATTATGCTACATACTCCCATAAATTGTACATAGGTGCATCTAGGAACAATTTGCATTTTAAATTCAGGGAAATTTTTTACCATTGAAGGGTTTTTAAAGTAATTTAAAAAATTAAAATTTTATCATGAGGTTCATTGATATGTATAGTTAATGCTATAATGTTATAGAGGAGAGAAGAATGTTATAGAAAAGAAAACTACTTGCATCACTTACCAGGTGATAATTTTTTTGAAGCCTTCTTTTGTTTACATTTCTTCTTTATACTTGGCAATTGATTGATGTAAATTTTATCCATCTGAATTTGTTTGATGGCAGAATTTTCATTCTCAATAGAAGTGATTTTAGGATAACTGCTATCACAAGAAATACTTTCAGCTTCTTTCTTAGATGACTCTGCTTTGTTTGTGTTTCTAACTTGAGTTGAAGCATTCCTAGATATATCATTGACCCTAATCAAGTTTTCAGACGAACTTTCTTTGCAATTGTCTTCATAGCTGAGGCTGCCTTTTTTCTGCAAAATGTTTGGCTGAAGACTGCTATTGTTTGATATTTTCAACATGGCATCTTTTAGTGTTCTTTTGTTGATTCTTGTTGCTTTGGGATGAAGCTCTGATACACTCAATGAACCAACTGCCAAAAAGAAACTATCTTAACAGAATGCATCAGTATTAACCATGAAGCATTAATTCAATGTCCAAAAAACAATTGAATGTCAAAAAATATTTGGCACAATATTTAATACTATTTACAAATAAAAACTTTTACAGATCATTATGCAATAGAAAATATGTAAAGAAAAACACAAAACAAAAGTTGAATTGTCTTATAAGAAATATTGCTAAACAAAATATCTAAAATATCTTATATCTTACATTTCTTTTACATGCTAATAAATTTCAATGAAGCTCATGAAAAAACATCACTTCATAAAAAATATCAACAAACTTACTTCAAAGAAGAGTACAACTTTAAATTAGTGTATACTAAAACATCCTAACCTTCAATTAGTGTCAGTTTCAACTTAGTTTTTCTTCTTTTGGGCCTATGTGGCTTGTTGAGACTTGTAGCAGATGACCCGTAAATTTCAGCTGCTGCTGTGGCAGGCTGCTTGAGAAGGTTAGCAGGAGCATCTGGTAGAAAAAAAAAAATTAATAGTAAATTAATTTCTATTATTAATTCTAATATTCTAATATTCTAATATTCTAAGTTCAATTTCTAATATTAATTAAATTCAACCTTTTTTAGGCTTCATAATTTAAATAACAGGGTCAGGATGTCATTGCAATTCAAGTAACAATTTTCAACAAAAAACAATGCAATAATGAGCAAAAATACCCTTTGCTGCTTCTAACGTTTTAAGTAATAGACAAAAAAAATCACAGTACATGAATTTATTTCAAAGTCATTTTATCAATCAAATTAGTAAGGCTTATTGCCTTATGGTTAGTTATCATTTATGAATTCAACTCAAATTCATTAACACGTTGACTCCGAAGTGGTACATATGCGTACCACGAAATGCATTTCTCCAGTACAAAGTGGTGCATAATTCAGGCTGCCTAAAATCGGCCAAATCCAAGAACATAAAAGGCCGATAACCCAATATATACTAGTTTATTTGTAGGTGTAGGAAAAATTTCATTCATTTTCTTTTTCCAGTACTTAAAATTTAACTAGGAAGTACCCCTATCATAAATTTTAGCCAGCCAACGCAATTGAGAAAAACTAAATCACGGAATTTGTCCAGAAAAACTCATCGTCTGGCAACCCTGTTTAAAAACAGTACAAAAATGAAATAATAGTACAATATGAAGCAATCGTAGTCAACGTGTTAACCAACATATCAGTATAAATTTCAGGCCACTGTGCAGAAAGCGGGTGAATATCACAAGATCTTTGGTGACGCATCAGCAGCCAAATTTTTGCCTTCTGAAGATCTTGCCGACACATTTGTATTGAAATCATTGCATCGGAGAAATAACTTTGAAATTACTGGTAATCTGAAGGGCTGCAAGCGCACACAATGAGGTTTCCTGTATGCCGGAAGGATCAGGATGCAGTGAAGCTTGTCTGGAAATCAGTTACGTTGTTTGGAAGTGTTTCAGTGCATGGACAGTAAAGGATATACTATCAAAGTTGCTTGCAGCACTTTCTTATTAAAAATTACCAAGCGACGGATCTTGAAAATGGCCGGCGACGCTTTTGGCTGAAAAACCATATCTTGGTGACATTGCTTGCACCCTCTGCACCCTGGCTTTCAGGGCAATGACTATGGCCCATTTGCTAGTTTCTGTTCATATGATTACATATATTATGTGTCAATGATCCATTGTTTATTCACAAATCATAATAATAAATAATCATCATCATCGTCATCAGATCAACACACTGATTTCTAAAGTCTAAAATCCAACTGATGTCCATGAATTAGCTGGATTAAATTTATACATGAAATATTTACCAACAATTTCAATCAGGGCTGGAAAAGTCCTATTTTGTTCTGAAATATCGCGGTTCTAATATCATATAATTTCAGTAGGTATGAAATTTTGCGGCTTGAATGTCATTAATTTTTGTTTGGTTGAAAAAATTGTGGTTTGCACTTTGCAAAAATGTCATTTCATAAAATTTTCAACTTCCGCAATCTGTATTACTTTACTTTCCATGCCAAAATATCATGCAGAATGAACAGTAATCATCATTCATCTGATTAGGAATAAGAAAAATGATCTGGGTGTAAACGGAATTAAGGGAGGGGCTTGAGCCGTCTGGTGTGCTTGTGCAATACCGGCATATATAAGAGCAGAGTAGGGAACAGCGGGCAGTCTAGTACAGGCAGTAGTGCCGGTCGGTGGTACTGAAATCTACTTCCCTGGACTTGAGAATCCTCCCCACGCAGCCCCGTCAAGAAATATAATCACATTGGTCCCGGCGCTGCTTCCTCCTCAAAACTTGGTGATGTACAGTGGGGAAATTCACCTGTAGAATGTAGAAATTGTCCAACTCACTGTGCTGTTGCCTAACTGATCTTATTAGCCTGTTAGTAATTGGATTGAGTAGTGGAGTACTGTTGTCTCAGGCACAACCTAGCATTTCCATGTAGCCACCTTTGTTTTGTCTTGCAGTATTAGTTTCAATCAGAAATTCTGGGCCTGTTAGTAATTGTGTTGAGTACTGTTGTCTTAGGCCTAGCTCTGTATAGGATAGGTTTTAAACTTAACAAGTAGGCATGTGTGCTTGTCATTCTTGCCGTTCCTAGCAACTAGGTGTAGGATACCTTGCTTATTAGTATATGAAGTTTTTTGAGATAACATGTGTTTCAATTGTCCTTTTGTCAATTCATCATCGACTCTTAGGAAAACGTCATTGCGTCCTTTTGTACCACTGGATAAGAAATTTAGGGAGCCAGCCTGACAGTTAAATAATTAAGAACCTTGAAGCTTTGAAAGATATGGTTTTGAATGTAATAACAATAGGGTTGGCAATGATTAAATCAAAATGATTAAATCATGTGATTAAATCACTTGATTTTTTATAAAAAAAATCGCAATTTTTTTATTTTTTTTTCATCGTTTTCATTTTTTTTCATATTTAAACATATTGAGTGGCAGTTTTTAATTTATTTTGAGGTATTGTTACTCATGGTTTAGTATAGATGTACTATGAATGACAAATTGGTATATAAACTTGTTGCTTTTAGTGTGTATTAGGTTCCAATAAATTGAATGTTTTTGGTACAGAGGCATCAAGTGTTGCAATACATTGTACATAGCAGTCATAGCTAGCAGCTTAGCTAATTCTTATAAGGCTATAAGTAGCCTTTAAAACTATTTGACTATGTGATTACAATATACTATTTAAATGTGTTAGCTAGCTTATACAGGGTGGGGCAGAACCAATTGAGCAGTTCTGAGGCAAAATAAAAGAGTAATGGAGGTACATAAAGAAGAAAGTTTATTTTCCTTGAGATTAGCATAACATACCATTTAAAATACTTATGTTTTGAAAACAATATCAGGAAGATGGTGTTTGTTAGCTGCATCACACTGATGGAGTCATTCTCAGAAGTTTCCTACAGCACGTTCACACATATGGCAAGGTATGGCCATAACCTCTGCTTCAATAATCTGTTCCCTTAGCTGTGGTCGGGTGTGAGGGTGACTTCTGAACACCCTTTCTTTTAGATGTCCCCAAAGAAAGAAATTGCAAATGCTCAAATCAGGTGACCTCACAGGCCAATGTAATCACCCCTCAGAGACACCAGACATCCAGGAAACATGTGTTTCAAAACATTGGGTGACATTTGGGCTGTGTGAGCTATAACCCCATCCTGCTGGAACCACATGTCTCCCAATGCTTCATTTTTAACAATGTTTTCCATCCTGTGCAGCAAGAAATTTTGTAATATTGCAGCATAGCAATTGGAATTCACTGTCACAGTTATTCCCTCCTCTGAGATTGACTCCAGCAGTGTGTTTCAGCTAATGGCCCCCATCTTCCAGATATTGTTTTCAAAACATAAGTATTCTAAATGGTATGTTATGCTAACCTCTAGGAAAATAAACTTTCTTTACCTTCTTTATGTACCTCCATTACTCTTTTACTTTGCCTCAAAACTGCACAATCTGTTCTGCCCCACCCTGTATATTGAGAGGTTGAGATTGTATTGACCTTTTAGGCAATTAGAAAGATTTTCCACCCTAATACGAGTATTCTAATTAAAATATTTAATTTCAATCTTTAAATATGTGAATTTAAAACTAAAAACAAAACAATTACAAGTATAAGACTATATATCAAATAATTAAATGCAGTGAATGGATATAAAATATTTGAATTAGCTGGTATTGAAGCTCCTGGTTATCCGCACAGAATGCATTGTGTAGCTCCAGGTAGCTGGATGCGATTGCGTCTCATTGCTTGATAGCTGAGCTGGCAAACCATTGCATTGCAAATGCCAAAATTGTGCAAGCTCCTGTTTCAGAGGCAGCCTCGAGAGCAGCGTGTCCACATTCAAACAGGTGAGCAAAAAGGTTGGCACGCTTAATGAACCAATGCAAATAGAGACCATGTACCTTGTCATCACGCACGTTTGTGTATACCAAGTTAAGAAAATGTGCAGCGTCCCAACTTATGGGGAGTAATTCAGCATCGTCATCGGCAATGCCGAGCTACTCACGTACGATTTAAAAGTCTTATTACCACATGACACATAGAAATTGCAAAGCAGCTGTCTAGATCTTACTAGACTAGCTTGTTTTTGTTCATAAAATAGATAGTTTCTGTTGAAGTCACAACCAAGTAACTACTGTGAGTGAGACGATTGAAGTTTAATAATGACTTCAGCTTAGATGCTATAGCAATATAATTATGCAGTACGATGTTTGCCATTACATCCATTATATTATCATCCAAATCTTGAAATTTGAGTTTATATTGATTGAAATACTTACATTTGGGCCTGTGTTTCTGGATTAGAGAAAACACCAGGAAGGAAGTTTGAAGCCATGAACATGCCTTGTTGTCGATGCTCAAGGGTAAAGTTTTGTGATAAATAAGTAACCATTGCAAATGTTGCCTAAAGCGTCAGAAAGAACTTTTCTGTAATTTCAAAAGTAAAAAAATTAAATCAATTGTAGATTTTGATGCATTATAAAATAAACTGGTCCTCACTTGCAGATTATTTGCATGGAAGTAACATGTCAATTACGATATAAAAAATTCTTCCAAATACTGTTATGACAATTGACTAGTTTCTTCCAACCCAGTAAAATTTACCGATAGAGCAACCCTGGGTATAAGTTTTGTCCCAGAAGGGTCCAGATGGTATTAAAGCTGAGGTTAGTAACCTGCTGCTGGGATCTTGCTTTAAATGACCTAAATTTCATATGTAGCCTGGACCATCAAAGGTAATTAAAAAAAATTTTACGACGTAACTATCATTGAAAGTTGTTTCAAATTTATGTCAACAGTTAATTAGATTAATCAAATCTGTTCAGGGGTCTGGAAAATATTTCAAGCTTGCTAAGAATCACATGACTGGCCGGAGAATTGTCCTACTGCTGGTACAGAAAGTAATTGTCACTCAATTGACACTTAGCAATCATGGTATACTCAGAGGTGGTGACTA